GCCTTTCTGGCTCCTGATCAAGCTGCTTAACAGCCATGATCCCAGAGACTCAGGAGCAAATCTTGGAACCCAGCAGGTTTTGGCAGAAATCCCTCCAGATTTAAGTGTTAAAATTTCGGAATTTCAAAATCGCACAGCCACTACTGCAGCCAAGTGACATCATATGTTATTCATAACCAGCAATAGAAAAAAAAATTGTCTACGGTTGCCTTTTCAGCAGATCTGAGTGTTGGGGTAAAATCTCAAATAATAATGCTGGTTCTGGTATCAAAATATTGAATATGATCAAAGTAGAGAGACAGTAATGTGAAAATCATCTGCCCTACAGGTAGGGGGAGGGTGTGGGATGGGGGTATCCTGGGGTTGTTGGGGGTGGAGAATGGGCACTGGTGAAGGTATGGGTGTTTCATTGTATGACCGAGACTTAGACCCAAAAGCTTTGTAACTGCTCTCATGATGATTCAATAAATAAAATTATTAAAAAATGAAAGAGTAAGGTGGAGTTCATGCACAATTCAATCAGCTAATCAGTGGCTGAATAAATAGCAGTGCTCCTACATAAAAAAAAAAAAAAAGAGTAGAAAGAGAACTCTAGGGGCTGTAGCGATAGCACAGCCGGTAGGGCACTTGCCTTGCATGTGACCAACTCGGCTTCAATCCCCAGCATCACATATGGTCCCCCGAGCACCGCTAGGAGTAATTCCTGAGTGCAGAGCTAGGAGTAACCCCTGTGCATTGCCCGGTGTGACCCAAAAGAGAGAGAGAGAGACAGAGAGACAGAGAGACAGAGAGACAGAGAGAACTCTAAATGATCCTAGATATTGCATCAGCAGAGAGCAACTACCATCTTCGACTGAGGGAACAAAGGAAAGGAAAGAGGCTAACATTATCAAATATCAAACCAGAGGGTCCCATCAGAGGTGAAATTCAGGTATCTGAGGAGGAAGCTCCAGGCAATGATCATGGTGTCTCCAGGCACTGAGTCAGTTCTGCAAGTGCAGAAAATAAAATTAGACTCAACTACTGCTACAACTGGCTGTGTGAAAAAGCACAGTGAGACTACAGCTCACAGGAAGTGCAATTAGAGAGGAAGTCCACCTGGAACTATAAGAGGGAGGAAATTAATCATTTTTCCCCCTTCCAGCTTTCCAATGTCCCTCTTGCGCCCTTTATTGGCAGAGTTGGACAAGAAGCCAGTTGGTAAATTGGAAATACAGTTTATAGAGTATCCAGCAACATAAACCAGTTGGATTTGGAGTTAAGAGATATTCGCTTCATAATTCTCACCATTTCCAGGTTGTATTTATTTGATCCTGCCAGGAAACAGAAACCAATCCTGCACTTTAAGAGGAATTTTACTACAAGAAAATGAATGGTACATGGCTAATAGAAGGACTAAGGAGCCAAACAGGGACTGGGGAAGCGATCCAGAAGTTGGCAACAGCAAATAGTTGCTACATGCCCTTGGCTAGAAGAACAACAGGAGTAGATGGTTTAGTAGAGGCAGAATCAAAGGGCATCCAAAGCACACTGGAACTGTAACAAAGTTGGCATGGAACTAGCTAGAACCGTGAAGTAAAGGTCTGCATGACCCAAGAGAAGATGCAACTGCTAAGAAGAATGCAAGAAGCAGAGAAAAAAGAAGAGAAAGATCTTAGATTCTCTCTGTCTTTTTCCCACTCTTTTGCTAGTGACTTTCATTGCCAGACCTCTCCAGAGGACAAAGAAATGTATGTCCATGTGATACAAGCCAGAGAGGGAAGAGCAGAGAAGGATCTGACCAAAATCAGGCAAATGACCAGTGCACTGATTTATCCAGGCATATCAATGTCATCACTATTTTCCTGCTCAATCTTTGTTCAGTTTTCTCAGTTTCAAACCACTATCAAATCAGTCACCTAATCTGAAGTTTTTCACTTAAAATTCTCTATCAGCTAGTTATTTCATCATATTGATCGAGCTTAGCTCCCTCAGGCCCTGCTCACTATGAGTTATTTTAATAGCTAATTCCTAACTGGTCTTGAACTTCAGGGAAGGGAAGACCCATGGAAGGGTTAGAGGCCCTGGGCCCCTCCCAGTGATTCTTATCTATCAAAGTCAGCAGTTCAATGCAAGAGCACAAAGACTTGGTGCTACTCAGGGCCTGCAGTGCTGGCGATCACCCAGCCCGCCCCAGTGGTGCTCTGGCGCTGCACCCAGAGGTGCTCAGGGAAACATGTGGTGCCAGAAATAAAAACGGAGTCTGAGATATGTTATATCTGCATCTTAACCCCTATGCTATCTCCCTGGCCCAGTTGAACCTCCAGGTTTTATATTATCCCCTCCCCAAATCCTTCCTACAACTATATATGGGCTGTGCACACAAGCATGCTTACACACACATACACACACAGAGACACACACACACACACACACACACACACACACACACACACACACACCTTCCAAACACAGTTATATCATACCAACTGCCATTTTTATCATTGTAATTAATATATATTTCTCTTTTCTCTTTAATACATATTAATCTTTCTCACCTCTGCTTTTTCCTTTCTTGAAAAATACACATTCTGGGATTGGAGCGTTAGTACAACGGGTAGGGCATTTGCCTTGTATGCGGCCAACCTGGGTTCCATTCCCAGCATCCCAGATGGTCCCCCAAGCAACGCCAAGAGTAATTCCTGAGCACAGAGCCAGGAATAACCCCTGTGCATCACCGGGTATGACCCAAAAAGCAAAAAAAAAGAAAAAAAGAAAAAGAAAAATACATGTTCTCTCTTGAACACATACCTTTCTCTCTCTCTCTCCTCACAGCTTTTTAATTTCTTTTAAAAAAAACTATTTGTCTCACTTAAAAAATTATAAAAACTAGAAGACTTGATTCTCGCCTCAAAAAACATACTCTAAAGAGAAATATAGAATCAATTTCTATAAAATACAATAAATTGTCAAATAAATAAGCCATAAATACTTGCAAACTTGTGACACACTTCACTTGGCTTTAATGGTATAGAATTGCTTTTTCCCAGATGCTAATACCTATTCATGCAGCATAAGAATGCATTTAAGTTTTCTATTGTTGCACAACAAAGTACTTCAAGACCTGGAGTCTTAAAATCACAGTCATTTCATTTGCTTGTAATTTTACAACTTAAGGAGGGCTGATTGTTTCTGTTCCACCTAGCCATTTGAACTGACTCCACTGGGTTGAGAATTCACTTCCAAAATGACGTTCTTTACATGGCTAGAGTTGGTGTTGACTATTAGTCGGGAGCTCAATAGAGATATTAGTCAGAGTCTCAATGTTCCTCCATGTGATTAGGTTCGGCCTTTCCCAGCTTTTAAGTCTGAACATTCAAATATCAAACATGGAATGAACCATCTCTGACATGCAGAAGTCATTAGGTTATCTTAAGGTACATGCTTAGAAATGGCTGGGTCACTTCCAGCACATTCTTTTGTGCTTGAACTCAAGAGGAGGGAACTATCAATGATATAAACACCCAGAAACTTGGTTCACTTGGATCCACTAAAGTAACAGTCACCAAAAGATTTTTTTCCCCAAGTGTTCTTGCTGAAGACTGCTCCTGCTTACTGTGGAGGTTTGGGATTTACTCCTACGGTGCTCTTGGGGAACTATGCTGTGCCACATTGCCAGTGATCAAAGCATGTGCCTCTCTCTCTCTCTCTCTCTCTCAGTGTGTTACATTTTTGGGCCACACCCAAGGTACTCAAGGATGTACTTTCCTAGTACTTGGAGAATCACATGTGGTTCCAGGGATTCAACCAGGGTGAGCTGCATGCAAGGTGCCTTAACCCCTATACTATCTCTCTGGCCCCTAATAACCTTTTAAAAAAAATAGTATTCAAAATACATGATGATAGCTCATTCCCCTAACTAGTACTAAAGTAATATACATTTCTTTACCACTTATTTTTTACCATTTTCCCCTACAATCAGGAACAACCAACCTAGCAGTGATTGAAATAAATTTAGGCCATTGTATCTTTCACAGATTATTGTTATTCAAAAAAATACCCTGCAATTTTAAAGACTCTGCAAGAGTCATATATAATTAACCCACAATTTCTAAGTTCTTTGTTTCTTCTTTAAAGCAGGGGAACTTGGGGTGAGGCGGTGATGAGAGGGGACACTGGTGCTGGGAAATGTACACTGGTGGAGGGATGGGTGTTGGAACACTATATGACAAAGCTAATCATGAACAGCTTTCTAAGGGTCTATTACACAGGGTTTCAATTAAAAAAATTTTTTTTCAATCAGGGTAATTTCACCTCATATTTGTCTATGAATGCTGCAACTTCAAGAAACAAAGGAACAGAGTCCAACTGATCAAGACCTTTAATTATTATACACACCAGTATCTAGTGATGGTTCCAATCATGGTGTCTGCAGCTCAACAACGTCAAATATTTAGGGGTTTTCCATCTTTTCATATAGCCATATCTGCTTTTCATCATTAGACTTGTCCCCTCAAGGTCACTCAAAAAGAAGTTAAAGAGAAAAGTTGGAGGCTCCCTTGAAGCTTTGTCTTTTTATCTGGGAGGAAACTATTTTCTAGAAACTTCCTCTTCTCAATTTCTATCAGCCTCCCCTAAAACTTCACTGGATTTGCAATTCCAATATAATCTAACAAGCAAACTTCAACATCACTGGGCAGGGAAAAGTCACCCCAAACACAGCCAAGACCGGCCAGCAGCATTTTTTCCCCACCCCAGTAAGTCTACTTAACAAATGAAAGAAAACTTCCTAGTTTCATGTAGTCACCAATCGTGATCGTTTACGAGAAATACCAATTTCAATCTATCTCCTGAAACAACCCTGCGCAATTTCCATGCGCAGCCCTTTGGAGCTTCTTGCCCACTTCAAATATGGTGGCCACGCGGCAGGCTGGCTTCATGCCCATTTCCAACAGGGCCTCCCTCACGCCCGGCTGCGGAGCTGAGTGCGCAGGCGCGAGCGAAATTCCTTTTCCGGCAAAATGGCGATGGGATTGATGTGCGGACGCAGGGAGCTTGTGCGCCTGCTACGGCCCCAGCGTCAGGTAAGGAAGTCTTAGAGCCGAACCCGGCTGCTGCCGCCCTGGCCCCTGTGACCCCAGCCAGATCCAACTCGCACGGGAAGCAGGAGCAGACCCTGACCCGCTTATCGGCCCCGTAGTCATGACCTCGGGTCGTGTGAGGACACGGGAGGGTCATGCCGCGGGCGCAGCGTGCACGGTCATCGGTGCCCGGGACACCTCTGCCACGTGCCAGGGGCCAGCGATGCCCGGGAGTGGCCTTCGGAGAGAGGCCGTGGCCTCATCTGTAGTAGCAGGCAACCTGTCACCGGGGTGGGGGGCGATCCTAACGAGCATCCCCTGCGCCCCTAAAAAGTCTCCCTTCTTCCTTTCCCGCACTCAGTTCCACCGCGTCGCAGGGCTGTCGCACTGGCCCCGGCCGCCGCCGGACGCGGGGCTCCTGCTGCCCAGCGGGCGACCCCACCATGGCCTGCTTGCAGCCATCGGGCCGCGCTGCCTCAGCACCTCGGCGGTGGCGTTTGCAGAAGCTCAGGTAAGAGGCGTGTCCTTCCCGGGACCTCCCGGGCTAGTTGGTTTTCACGTCGGACGGGGAAGGTGGAGCCCAGGTCCTTGCACACACCCCACACGGCACCCCGAAAAGGTAGCATCTCTGTTCAGGACACGAGAGGATGTAAGGGTTGGAGAGGACGGCAGGAAAGGTTTTTTGCTGGAGTGGCGGCAAGTCTCTAGTGGTGAGATGAGCTGTAAATATAGTCCTGTGTGTGTTTGGAGAAGTCGTGGCCTGCATATGAAATGCATGTGTTCAAGGATATTAAGCATTCTGAGGATGAGACCAAATAAGTATTTAAAACCTGAGTTGTTGGGCTGGAGAGAGTACAGCCGGTCAGACATTTGCCTTGCACATGGCCGACTCAGTTCCATCCCCAGCACCATGTTTGGTCTCCTGAGCAGCACCAGGAATGATCCCTGAGCTCAGAGTCAGGAGTATGAGTAGCATGGGTGTGGCACAAAACCAAAACAAAATTTTTAAAATAAAATAAAACTGAGTTGTTTTTTAAAAAGAACTGGTTATTTACTGAGCCAGGATCATAGTACCACAGGTAGGATGCTTGCCTTGCAAATGCAGCTGACCAGGATTCAAGCCCCTACACCCTGTGTGGCCCCTGAGCACAGCCAGGAGTGATTCCTGAGTGCAGAGCCAGGAGTAACCCCTGAGTGTTGTCAGGTGTGACTCAAAAAACCCACAAACACAAACGGAATGTTTTGAAGAAAAATCCTTTTTCTTTTTCTTTTTTTTTTTTATTTTTTATAGTGAATCACCGTGAGGTACAGTAACAGGCTTACAAACTTTCGTGCTTACGTTTTAGTCATACAATAATCAAGTACCCATCCTTCCACCAGTGCCCATTCTCCACCACCAATGTTCCCAGCATCTCGCCCACCACCACCCCATCCCCCCAAAGAAAAATTCTTAATAGTTTCAGTAAGTGCAAAATCACTCAGTTGCCTGAAGTCTGGCCACGGAGAGATAGTACAGGTTCATCCGTTGAGTGTGACTGATCCCAGTTCATCCCTAGCACCATAACACTGTAGCACTGTCTGTCCTCCTGTTGTTGTTCATCAGTTTGCTCCAGCGGGTACCAGTAACGTCTCCATTGTGGGACTTGTTACTGTTTTTGGCATATCGAATATGTCACGGGAGGCTTGCCAGGCTTTGCCGTGCAAGCAGGATATTCTCAGTAGCTTGCTGGGCTCTCCTAGAGGGGCAGAGGGATTGAACCCAGGACAGCCACATGCAAGGCAAATGCCCTACCCGCTGTGCTATAGCTTCAGCCCACCCAGCACCATAGAGTTCTCTAACTACAGTAGGAGGCAGCTTCAACACCTCCAGGTGTGGCTTTTCAGGCCTCTTGAGCAATGCCTGAGGAGTCCCATATAAATGAAGTTTGGGGTTGAAACAGTGGGTAAATTTCTTGCCCTGCATGTAGCCCACCAGGGTTTCATCCCCAGCACCTCCCAGAGTCATCCCTGGACACAGCCAGGAGTAAGTCCTGAGCACCTTCAAGTGTGGCCCCCCGCCCCCCGAAAAAATAAAAAAGAAGAAGAAATTTGGAAAATACTATTATAAGATTATTAAAGTCCCAGGGCTTGAGTGATAGTACAGCGGTAGGGCGTTTGCCTTGAAGGTGGCCGACCTGGGTTCAGATTCCCAGCATCCCATATGGTCCCCTGAGCACTGCCAGGAGGAATTCCTGAGTGCTAAGCCAGGAGTAACCCCTGTGCATCGCGGGTTATGACCACCCCCCCCCCCAAAAAAAAAGAAGATTAAAGTCCCAATATACAGGGAAATCATGAAACCTTGGTCCAAGTAACTTACACAGGTAGCAGGAAAGAGAATGGTTCTTTCAAGCTTTGAATTCTGAAGATACTGTTAGCTAACCCACAGAACTAAAAATACAGAGTCTGAGAATACTGACCGATATCTGTGTTTTCCCCTGCACAGATCCAAGCTCAAGCTCCTCCTGTCATTCCTGCAGCTCCGTTGCCCACCGCAGTACCTGAGGTGGCTTCTGGAGACACGACAGATGTCATCCAAGCCGCTGCTGAGCAGACCTTTGCTGAACTGGGCCTGGGCTCATACACCCCAGTGGGACTGATCCAAAACTTACTGGAAGCTATGCATGTTAACCTGGGCCTCCCCTGGTGGGGAGCCATTGCTGCATGTAAGAATATATCCTGGTTACAGATACGGAAAGTGGGGACTTAATAACTTTAAAGATGTTTTTTGAGTGAATTAAAGAAATAGTTGTAGAAGTTTAGGGGTCAGGAAAGCAAATATTCGAATGAGGAATAGGGCTTAAATTTTCTAAAGGGATTTCTTAGATCATTTAGACCGCCTTGAATTCTAAGAGTATGGCAGATTCTTGAACATTGCACTGTTTAATGTTGTTTTGTTAGGTTGATGAGGAAAATCACAGTCTAGAAATTAAGTGAGGATTTATTGTCTAGATAACTTGACCGTGAGCCCAGAGTAAGGGACCCTTGTTAATAGTGATGAAACTGCTGTGCTTAAGGAGCAAAGAGAGCCGGGTTGGGCCTTTGTGACCCTAAAATTGGGAAGACGGTCACATTGCCTCTCCTGCGGGCTAAAACTTTCGCTCTAAATTCTTCCTGCACCTTCCTTCAGCTATCATCCTTTCCCCTGTATCTTCAACTTCACCCTCCTAGAGCCCTACTCTTTACATATAAATATGCGCAAACATAACCGTGTCTTAGGAGAGAATTCCTTCCCTTCATTCCTAGTTCACCTTAACAACTGCTTTATCATTCTCCTTTCATTCATAGCTGTTATGTAAAAGTATTCTGCACCCAGTGGGCCTATTTTTTTTTTTTTGACCCTCAATCTAATGCTTAATAGCTGAGGTAATTTAGGCTGGAGCTTCTCAGAGCTTATTTTGACCTACCACCCCCTTTTCATTAAAAAAATAAAATTTTTAAAAACCACTGAACACCCTCCCCCAGCCATCCCCTCACCACCACCACCCTCCACCACCCCTGTAATCTACCTGCTTCAAACCAACCAAGCATCCCCTGATTACACTTAAGAAAACTACAAGGACCCTGGATGATTCTAGCAGTCCCCAGCAGGGGCAGCATTGCCCACTTTGGGAAGCACTGCAATACCCTAAGATCTGTCCTTTGTGAGTCTCCCGATTTCCTTCCTTTCTTTGGGGAAAGGAGGGGGCTCGAGGGGGCCTGCCTAGCAGTGTTCAGGGGGCCTAGAGGGATATTACTCAATGGAAAAGCATGTTCCTTGCATGCTTAAGACCTGGGGGCAATCCCGGTGTTGTTCTGTAGACCAGAGCAAACGCCTCAGTGCTTACGCCCAGCAGTGGGGTACTGTTTGGGCCCAGCAGTGGGCAAGGTACTAGGAGGTTGGAAGCAAGGTAAGGGGAGATATATGCATTGCTGGTGATTGAACTGGGGGGGTGGGGGGGCTTTCTCATGCAAGTAATCTCTTCATCCCATTGAACTATCTCCATGACCCCTTCCTGTCTATCTTTCTGACCACACCTTCTCATTTTCATCGTCCAGTATTCTCTCTGCCTCCTTTGGTGTTGGTACTCTGGGTTCCAGCCTATGCTTTTAAATTGTATCTTCTCTTACTTTCACCGGTTTCTTCTCAACCCAGACCCACTTGCTTATCTGAAGGTACCATAATCTAAATATTTGTTGAATGGTCAGGAAATAGGAAGTGTAAGAAAAGAAATAGGAAAGCACTGAAATAACAGACCGCTTCATCGCCTCCTCCAGGGATTTCTAGGACGGTAGATTTTAAACGTCATCCCTGAGATCTCCAGAGCTCTATAAAGATTCCTCTGAGCGAAGCAAAAACCAGAGCTTAAATAATCCTATTGTTGACTCCCCCTCACATGGACAGCTAGCTTTTATCTCTTAGATATATTGGGGCTTCGCTTAGGGCTGTGGCGGCAGGAGGGAGGTTCCATTGAGGGAAAAAGTTTGGGAACCATAGGCTAGGAAAGTAGCTTCTGCCGCCCTTTTGTGCAAAGAAATGTGTGTTTAGATAAGGTAATGCCTTACATGGCACTATCAAAGCAGCAGATAGAGCTTGAAGAAAATATGCCATGCCCTGCGCTTTTGGGGGAGCCCTTGGACATGAGTCATGGTATGGGAAAAACTGGAATAAGAAGGCCGGGTATTGAGAGCCCCAGGTTCAAACCCTGAGCTCTCCTGGGGTGGCTTTAGTGGCCCCCATCAATGCACCACTGTCTGGGCCTTAGCATCGAACTTTCTGGCTCCGTGACAAAGTATCACCAGGAGTGGCCTCCAGACTCCCTGAGCGCTATTTGGGAAAGCATCCCCACCCCCAAAAATGTGGAATAAGAGAGGCCCTCCTAAGTGATGATTTAAAAAATTTCCACCTTCTAACTGCAGAATGGTACATAATTTTACTCCAGTTCTAGTTTCTGTTTTCCAGGCACAGTCCTTGCCCGCTGCCTGGTGTTTCCTCTCATCGTGAAGGGCCAGCGAGAGGCAGCCAAGATCCACAACCACTTGCCAGAGCTGCAGAAATTTTCCAATCGAATGCGAGAGGCCCGGTTGACAGGGGACCACGCCGAGTGTGAGTCATGTGCAGGATGAGCCTGGGAGAGGTCCACCTTCGAACTTTTCCTGAGGGAAAGGGACAACATCAAACAGGATTGCTGCCCGCTCTTGGACCTAACTCATCAACATTGACTGGGCAGGGCAGTTAGAAATCCCCTGCACCAGGCGGGGAGGGTGGTGGTGAGCCCCACCCAGCTCACTCAGCCCAGCCCTTAACTTCTTGCACTCCTTTTCAGTTTACAAGGCCTCCTCAGAGATGATGTTTTACCAGAAAAAGCATGATGTCAAACTCATGAGACCTCTCATTCTACCTCTGACGCAGGTGAGTATCGTCGTTTGTCTTGTGTCAGAGAACCAGTCACGTTCATTACCTCCTGTTTCCCATAGTCCAGAGACCCTAGAACACAGATGGTGATAATTGGACATGGTTTTCAGTAGCAGTGGAGTGATGACAGTCCCCTCTCTGCGGAAGGGAGCTGACAGGGCTTCTCTTGTGCTACAGGCCCCGATCTTCATCTCCTTCTTCATTGCCTTGAGAGAAATGGCCAACCTTCCTGTGCCCAGCCTGAAGACCGGGGGCCTTTGGTGGTTCCAAGATCTCACGCTGTCCGACCCCACATACATATTGCCAGTGGTAGTCACTGCTACAATGTGGGGTGTCCTGGAGGTAAGCCTGTGGTGGCCAAGTAAGTGCCAGGTCTACAGAGTAGAGGGTTGGAGGTAACATGTTTGTGCAGTTGGTTTTTCTCCACTCGCTGGAAGAGTTTGGAAGAGTTCATGGGTAAGAAATATGAGTCAGCTTCTCTAAAGCTGGTATGTATTTCTACTCTTCTCTGCCTTTTTTGTTTTTAATTAAGTATTTTATTGAATAAATGCAGTATCAAAACAAATGTATTCAGATGCTTTCTTAAAAACAGTCTCTTGGGACTGGAGTGATAGCACAGCAGGTAGGGCGTTTGCCTTGCATGCGGCCGACCTGGGTTCGATCCCCAGCATCCCATATGGTCCCTCGAGCACCATCAGGAGTAATTCCTGAGCGCAGAGTCAGGAGCAAACCCTGTGTATTGCCAGGTATGACCCAAAAAGGAAAAAAAAAAAAAAACAGTGTCTTAAAAGACCTTTCTTTGGAGGCTAGTGACACAGTTTTAGGGGGAGGGGGTGTTGGGACCAGACCTGGTGACCTACTCCCAGCTCAGTCATTGGGGCTCATTCCCAGTAGTGCTCAGAGGACCACGTGGTGCCAGGAATAGATCCCAGGCCTCTCTTGTGCAGTACTTACGCTCACCCTGTTGAACTCTCTCTCCAGCCCATAATAGCTGACACAATAAAGTTAAGTATGTTAGTTTAACATAACCATCTGATTTTACACATAAGAACCACCTGTATCTTTGAGTCTATGGCTGTATTACTAAATGTTAAAAAACATAATACAATCTTTTTAAAAAAAAAAATTGGGGCTTGGATCCATATTTCAGTGAGTAGGGCACTTTCCTTGCATGTGGCCAACTTAGGTTTGATCCCTGGCACCCCATGTGGTCCCCCAAGCCCCACCAGAAGTGAGCCCTGAGCACAGAGCTAGGAGCCAGCCCTGAGCACAGTCGGGTGTGGCCCAAAAACTAAAACCCCACCATACCCCCCCAAAATCCTAGGAACTAAATGCCTTAACCCCCCATGCTAGGCAAGCGCCCTAACTTTTGTACTGACTCTGACCCCAGTTTTCCCAACTTATTTGATCTACCACCCCCTTTCTAGAAAAGTGAATTGTTCCAGGTCATCTACTTCTTTAAGCAGAAGTAAAGAAAAGGCCCTCCTCCTGTCCCATTGCACCCAGGGCTGCTTATCCACACCCCACCACCACCCCCCAGATCATTCCAACTCTCCCCAGGCTGTGTGTCACCTACTTTGGGAAATGCTGAGCAAACTGAAGAGATAAAGCCAACCATTTTCTTCAAAAGAGCTCAGAGTTATGATTGCCTTGGTATTTCTGGTGCGTCATGTGCATTGAGACAGGATCCAGATGTTCCAAAGAAAGCACAGTACATTGTGATCACCTTTCAGTAAAAGCAAGCACTGCATGCCAAACCTTCTCCTGGGAATGAAAACCTTAATGTCGTGGAGAGTCCTTGTGTCTTCAGTGACCAAGTTTCCAGCTATACTCTCCTCCCACATCCACCCCCTCTGCCAACTGTGAGTGTAGGTTCTGTGACTGGTAGGCTCACCACGGATTAGGACTGTGGGCACTCACGTGAACATCCCACGGGCCAGCGAGTAGCTGTGGTCAGACCACAGCTCCATCCTGATGATTCCCTCAGAACATCTCTCACCTGCTCCATGCCACCATACTGCAAGGTGACAGCAAGCCCGATTCCAGAATCACAGTACTTGATTTTATGAATATGAATGAAACCAGGCATCCCTGGCTGCTGTCACCTTGTAAAGCAGACAGGGATAGTTAAGGAACAGCTTTGGAGTCAGATGTGGCTCAGTAGCAAAGTGGTGAGACCTGTGTACATGAGACCAGGGTTCAATCTTCAGCACCACACAAAACGGTTTTGGTTTTTTGGTTTTTTTGTTGTTTGTTTGTTTTGTTTTGCTTTTTGGGTCACATCTGGCAATGCACAGGGGTTACTCCTGGCTCTGCACTCAGGAGTTACTCCTGGCGGCGCTCAGGGGACCATATGGGATGCTGGGAATCGAACCCAGGTCGGCCGCGTGCAAGGCTAACACCCTACCCGCTGTGCTATCTCTCCAGCCCCGCAAAACGTATTTTTAATAAATATGTGTATATAATTTTTTTCAAGCAGGGGGAGTGACTGCATGGCATTTATATGCCTTTCTAAAAAAATTTTTTTCCAGTTAGGTGCTGAGACAGGCATGCAAAGTTCTGACATTCAGTGGATGAGAAATTTTATCCGCGTGATGCCCCTGGCAGTCTTGCCTGTAACTATCCACTTCCCCACGGTAGGTAATAAATAGATCAGGGATCAGAGCTAGCCCACACATCTCTTGAACAAGCAGCTTCTAATCTCTCTCTCTCTCTCTCTCTCTCTCTCTCTCCCTCCCTCCCTCTCTCCCTCCCCCTCTTTCTCTCTTTCCCTCCCTATCTCTTCCTCCTGCCCCTCCCTTCCCCATCTCTCCCTCCCTACCCCCCCTTCCCCACTCTCTCTTCCACCCCCCTATTCCCTCTGCTCATCCAGGCAGTGTTCGTGTATTGGCTCTTCTCCAATATGTTTTCCCTGACCCAAGTGGCTTGCCTCCGTATCCCAGCCGTACGCACTGTCCTGAAAATTCCTCAGCGTGTCGTACACGACCCTAGCAAACTAGCTCCGCGGGAAGGCTTCTTTCAGAGCTTTAAGAGAGGTAAGGGCACCCTGTCGTGCGAACGGGGACTGGGAAAAGTGGTCCTAGATGGTGCCCCACTGCATGTTTTACTCCTTACATAGGCTGGAAGAATGCTGAACTGACCCATCAGCTACAGGAGCGTGAACGGCGCATGCAGAATCACCTGGAGCTAGCAGCCAGGGGTAACTAGTCCTTTCTGGCTAAGTTCAATCATTCTTTTCTTCCCGGCCTTTGTTCAACAAGATCTGTGTGTTTTCTTCTTATTTTTCTTCTGTCTTTCAGGTCCCTTACAGCAAACCTATACCCACAACCCACTGCTCCAGAATGAAAAGAATCACCCACCCACCACCCCAGACAGCAGCAGCAGCAGCAAACCAAAGTCAAAGAGGCCCTGGCGAGACACTCTGGGCTGAATTTTGTTCCCTGCTCATATTGGTAGGAATTCTCCTCAGAGACTCAACTCAAAGCAAGCTGGGATGCTGGGTCCTTGTCCCAGAGGTAGAAACTGAGAGAGATGTGTCAGTGCTTCTCTTAAAGGTGGATTCCACTACAGACTCTTGCACCACAGTGTCAGAGAGCACTTGGAAGCCAAGTGATCTCATCCACGAAATAGTAAAGCTCTGTACCATGTGCTGCTTGCTGAGATTTATTAAACGATGAAATCGATTGTTTTATCTTCCTAAGAATGGATATGGGTTGGTGATTACTCTTGCTACTCTTGCTCTTAGGAAGAGTCTCTGTGTTTATTTGGGCCATATCTGGCAGTGCTGAGGGGTTATTCCTGGCCCTGCACTCAGGAGTTATTCCTATAACCAGGAGTAACTATGTTCAGGTACCATATGGGATGCCAGGGATCAAACCTGGTTCAGTCCCCTGCAAGGCAAGCACCTTACCTACTGTACTATCACTCCGGCGCTGGTAGTTTTTAACAACCTAAATTTTTGCCATAGCAGTTTAGATACTGTCTTGTGTAGAGATTGTTTGTATCAACCTCCAACAACTGCCTTGATGAGAACATACTCAGGTACTTTGAAATAATTATTGAGTCTTCCTGATAGGCTAATGGGAGCTGTCCTGGGGACACATGAAGTAACTCATTGGTCAGGGACATGGCTCAAGCAGCAGTCTGTGCCTTCCCTGAGATCCTGGGCTCAACCCCCCAGTACCATATGCTGCACCCTGAACAGCACCAGGTGTAGCCCCCACACCTGTAGAAGAATACAAGGAAGCAACGCGAAAGCATAGGAACATAACCCTTTATTGTCCAACACCTGTGACAGTTTCATGTCTCTGAAAAGGAGACAGTTTGGAGCATTATTGGCCCTTTTAAAGGAAAAGGAGTGGGTTGGCACACCCAGACTTGAGTGTCTTACACATGGGAATGTACTTTTTTAGAACAATCAAATCCCCACACCTGATATGCTCCCCACCAGTCTACTCATTCTTTCAAAAAATCTGGAACAATATGTAGCAAAACAAATAAATTATTTTCTATCTGAAAAATGCAAGTTCAAAGGTCGCCGGAGCCCAGGCTTCTGAGCACTCTCTCAAAAGACGGGGAGTTTCTTTTTCAGCTTCTTTGGCTGCAGCCAGTAGGTGAAAGAAAGGCCCCTGCTTTCCACACCTCAGTATTCTGGGTGATAATTTAGTTGGATTTGGAATCCTGCTTGGACATCTCTGCTCCATTTTCAAAATCCATCTCTGAAGCCACTGACATACATAGGATCTGGAGGTACCGTGTGGCAGATGCTATAAACAAGAGAAGTTTGAGTCAAAATTGAGAAGTCAGCAGGATTGGGTATTAGGTGGCATGGAATGGAGTCGAGCCAAAGGGAAAATTCAGCAATGCTCAAGGATTAACAACAGGAAGAGATTAGGGCAAAGGTGACTTGGAAGATTAGATTTGGAAGAAAATATCTGACTTGCAGACTCAGTGCTTGCTTACCCACAATCCTTCGGAGGTAATGAGGTCGTTTTTTCTCTGGCACTCGGATGATCAGGAAGTAGAAAGGCAGACCTGAAAGGGCAATGCCTATGCCAATGAGGGAGTTGATGGTATCACTATACAGTGGAACAGCCACCAGGAAGATGGTGCAGAGGCAGAAGACAATGGGAAAGAAAAGGCTGAGCTGAAAATACAAGGGGAAATGAGGTTAGACAACTCGGGACCGAAATAAACCCGCCTACAAAGGTAGGGCATTGAACCTTCTCCCCACCCTTGTCACATCCGTGTGGCCACCACCAAGTCCCGGGAAGATCTTTGAATCCATGTCACACACACTTAGGGCAGGGGTTAAGATGGAGGTGAGTTACCTTGAGTGGACGAGGCCGATCAGGATCCTTCCAACGCAAGTAAAGCTGACCAACAATCGAGAGCCCCACAAAGAACCAGTAGCTGAAGCTGTAGTAATTGATGAGCTGGAAGATATCCTCCACGCACAGGTAGAACAGTGCCATAATACCCTGGTTGGCACAAGCCGTGGTCAGCTCTTGTGTACCTAAAGTGCTTTTTACTCCCCTTATTTCACACTTACCCCTCCCCTTGGCAAGTCCTCAATACCCCCACCCCCACCCCACCTGTCCCTTATTGTTCCACCCACTCTACACCCTAGCTTCACTGCCTCATTCCTGTCCTATGAAGTCATAGCTTCTTCCTTGTGTTTTTCAGTTCATTCTTCAAACATTTGCCTAGGGACCATGCTATCAAGCACAACTCCAAATAACTTTTCAAAAACCTTTTTGCCCAAAGCCTCCCCTTACTAGCTCTGCCATATATTTCTAACTCTGAGCGCCTAGGAGCTGCTCCCAGGATATTCAACCATCTAGGTCAATGCTGTGTGGTACTAACTGGGCTCAACACTGCTCAGGGCGTCATGCAGTGCTGAGGTTCAAACTCAGGATCTCTGCAAATACAAGGGATGCACTCCTGACCTTAAAGTTATTTCCCCGGTCCCTAGAGTTCTTCACTTAACCTAAAGTCCATCTCTTTGCAGTCATTACCTTAGAAATCCATTTCAAACTTACCCCAGACCTTCCTTCACCTATCCTTACAGAAGACAGTAACTTTTTATTTCCCAATGACAGGGATTAAACCCTTATGGAAGGCAAGAACTCTACCTCAGAGCCCCATTCCCAATCAACAGTGACCATTTCTTGCCTTCAACATATCAGTCTGTCATGACGGTCATGAAAACACATTCCACATACTTTAGGCCTTATCGTAAACCAGAGGTTCCCATCCCCCAGAAGAGCGAGCTGCTCTCTTAGAACAGCTGTGCCAGTTATGACGGTGCCTGGCTTAACGTGGCTGTTCCATCCGTCATTTTCCTGTTAGAACATCCTTAAGAGTTTGGGGGAAGTTAGGACAGTTGTCTCCTATGACTAAAGTGCCCCCCACACTGGCTTTCAACCTCATCCTGAGATCACTCACATTAAAGAGCAGAGCAGGCACCGGTGTGAACCGCTCAACGTGAATCATGCAGATGGCATCAGGGAGATGGCCTTCGCGGGAGCCCACGAAGAAGAGCCTATTTGGGGTGAGACAGATACAGCTGAGAAACCAGCAAGACACAGGCTGTGGCATAGTTCACAGGCCGCCCCGCCATGGCTCTCTCCACCCCCTTCTTCAAATGTGAATAAGAAAGAGGGTTCAGGCTGGAGCTATAGTACAGCAGGGAGGGATTTTGTCTTGCACAGGGCCGATCCTGGTTCGATTTCAAGCATCCCATATGGTCCCCCGAGCACCGCCAGGAATAATTCCTGAGTGCAAAGCCAGGAATAACCCCTGTGCATCGCTGGGTGTGACCCCAAAAAGCAAAACAAAACAAAAAAAACAAGAGAGTTCGGTGCAGAGATGCATAGGAAACAAAAACTGCCAAAGGAAACCAGAACTAAGAGGTTGTGAATATCATTTGGGGAGCACGGTAACTAACGTCTAGATCCTATGAGTCTAACCCTACAGCAGTAGTTCTGTACTACTCCAATCATAGTGTCGCTCATACCTAGAAGCAGCCACAATGGAAGCATTAAGGCCACCGAAGCAGGATAATGCAACTGCCAGTGGAATTGTCCAGTTGAATATTCCAAAAATCTGGTCTGCAAAAGTCTAAGGGAAAGGAATGGGGAGACGTTAGTGATACATAAAAAGGATGAAGGCAGAGACTGGCACAACCCCAGATTCCTCTCCTAGAAACTCAGTCCTTCTAAAGCAGGAGGGAACAGGATCTCCTGTCAGACCACTAGCCCAGCAAAACACCTTTCAAGGGCTACTTGCTTTCTGGGACCGTCGAGAAGTGTAATATAGGAGCTGGAGCTATAGTACAATGGGTAGGGCATTTGTCTTGCACGCGGCCAACCGGGATTCAATTCCCAGCATCCCATATGGTTCCCCAAGCACTGCCAGGAATAATTCCTGAGTGCAGAGCCAGGAGTAAACCCTGTGCATTGCCAAGTGTGACCCAAAAAGCAAAAAAAAAAAAAGTATAACATAGCCAGTAGGCCACAAACTCTTCTGAGCCTACTTCTCGTGCCAACTTACCACAGCAACAGCTTCACTGGACAGGATGTCCTGCATGTCTAACACGGTGTAATAGGCCACATTGGTCATGATGTAGATGATGGTGACGATGGGCATGGAAATGCCAATGGAAAGGGGCAGATTCCTACAACGAAATAAAGCCATGGCTTATATTAGTCCCCAGTCGCATCTCCCATTGCTCCTTAATCCTTACACTGCCACACCAATCCCGAGACAGGGCCTCCTTGTAGTATTTCCCCAGTGGTAATGCCCTTGAAGTTGCCTAGGATAGTGGCTTAAGCTTCTAAGAACTACAGAGCATCAAGGGAAAGGAATGTCACACGGGGACCAGGGCGGGGGATAAAAGATTGAAAAAGAGCTATGTCACGGCATGACAGCACAGAAAGAATGGAGATTTTTTTTTAGTGCTATTCACTTTGAGCCATATCTGGCAGTGTTCAGGTTTACTCCTGGCCCAACTGAAGAACCATTAAGTGCCAGGGATCAAACCCGGGTACCCCGTAAGCAGAGCATGCTCAGTAGCTCTGAGCTCTCTTCACCTTTTCACATCCAAAAGTCTTGGGGTGTTGGCATTCCTTCTCTAAAGATGTCCTAAGATTGTCTTAAGTTTGGATATAAAAAGAAATTATGAAGGCAAATTATGAAAATCTAAGATACAGGGAACATGACTCCCAGTAGGCAGGGCAATCTGAACAAAACCTGGGAAATATGCCCACCCCAACTCCAACTCGGTTTGAAACCTTTGGGTGCCATCCTACCAGAAAGCCCTCGGGGTCCCTAGAGCTCAATAAAAGTCACCGTCTTTATAAATTTCTTTACAGTGAGAGCCAGAATAGAGGCTGTAGAGAGCACAGGGCCTGAGGGACTAAAACTCTTAAATCATTTAACTTCTGTCCAGTAGGTGGAAGCACCACCCAGGCCACAATCCCGCTTCTCTCGGAACCCAGGGTGGCAACATTCCACGTGTCCCAAGAATCCCCTCTGTCTCTAAAAGTCAAAAGCAGTTCATTGTTATTCTCTCGACTTAAAAGTTTACATAAGATAGAGAAGAGATCAGTATGGCAATAATAGTTGGAAATGATCATGCTGGACAAAAACTGAGTGTTAAAAGTAGATAAAGGGATCTACACGATAACCTTTCAGTATCTTAGTATCTGTATTGCAAAACACAATGCTCAAAATGAGAGAGAGAGAGAGAGAGAGACAGAGAGAGAGAGTAGGGGGAGGGGAGAGGGAGAGAGGAGAGAGAGAGAAGTGTCTGCCATTGAGGCAGGCTGCGGGGGCAGGGAGTGATGGGAGGGAACCTGGGGACACTGATGCTGGGAAATGTACACTGGTGGAGGGATGAGTGGTGGAACACTGTATGACTAAAAGCTAATCATGAACAGCTTTGTAAAGGTCTATTTCAAAGTGATTCAATCAGAAATAAATAAATAAATCTTTTAAAAGCTCACGCTTCACTCCCTGGAAAACCTAAGTTCCCAGAATTGTTGACTCTAAAGAGTGAGGGAAAGTTCTGGGACATTTATCATTTCACCTCATCAGTTGCAGATAAGGAAGTAGGCAGAGATGGCAGGGGACTTCCTCGAGATCATCCAGCAAGTCAATGGAAAGGTGTGTTAGTAAACTCTCGGCCCAGTGCTTCTTTCTAAACTACAGTAGATTAGAGTAAAGTGGTAAAGTGCTATCATTGGGTAGCTAATGCAATAAATACAATGCATCAGTGAGCACTGGAGAAATGAAAAAAGGCTCAGAAGGGAAACAGGAAGATTCTGGGACTCTATGACCTAGAGTTATCTCTCTTTTTTTTTTTTTTTTTTTTTTTTGCTTTTGGGGTTACACCCAGCAATGCTCAGGAGGTTGCTCCTGGCTCTGCACTCAGGAATTACTCCTGGTGGTGCTTGGGGGACCACATGCTATACTGGGGATTGAACCCGGGTTGGCTGCGTTGCAAGGCAAACACCCTACCCGCTATGCTATCTCTCTGGCCCCCTAAAGTTGTCTTTGTGGAGATAAGGATGATAAAAATTCTACCAAGGGTCAGAGGTAGTCCAGGGGTTAGGGTGCATGCCTGGTGTGCAGTGAGGTCTGGATCGATCCCTGGCACTGCATGGATTCCCAGCACATTGCCAGGCATGGCTCTGGTCGCACCACTGGTGTGACCCTGGTAATCCTCAGTCATGCAGCACACAAGCAGCACCACAGAGCTGGGCTCTCGCATTGAACCACCAGCCTGCTTAGTTGAGAATCATCACAAGGGGCCACAGGCCTCCTGAGCAATCCCCTGTCCCGCAAACCCCACCCCAACCCCGCCATACACATGCACACACACACACAAAAAAAAAAAAACTATAGGGATAGTACAGTGGACAGGGATTTGCCTTGCATATGATTGACCTAGGTTCAATCCCCAGTATCCCACATAGTCTCCTGAACCTGTTAGGAGTGATCCCTGAGCACAGAGCCAAGAGTGAGCCCTGAACACTGCTGGCTGTGACTCAAAGAAACCAAAAAGTATTAAGGAAAAAATATATAATAATACATAAAAGAACATGATATATATCATATACCTGCTTTAATTAACATGAAAAGGCCTTTTGGGGGCTGGAAAGATAGCACAGCAGGTTTGCCTTGTACGTGGCCGACCCAGGTTCAATTCCCAGCATCCCATATGGTTCCCCGAGCATCACCAGGAGTAATTCCTGAGTGCAGAGCCAGAAGTAACCCCTGTGCATCGACGGGTGTGACCCAAAAAGAAAAAAAAAAAGAAAGAAAAAGAAAAGGCCTTTAAAAAAAATTTCCTAAACATACAGAAGTTCATTATCTCAACTCTGTTACCATGATCACGGAGAATTTGCTCTCAGGGATCCCCCGTCTGTGAAGCTGGGGCTGACTGAAACGAAAGCCTGGATGATAGGAGTCTGGGGTCTGGCACACAGTGGGAACCCCATAAATGATTGTCACTACTGCCAAGGGAAGCTGAGGACTAAGCTCTTACCTCTCGGGGTTCTTGATCTCTTCGGTGACGTAGTTGAGGGTGTCCCAGCCCGAATAGGAGAACAGAGCCGAGTACAGGGCCAGGGCAATGTCGCCCATCGCGAACGACGAGCCCTCGAAGGAATTCTCAAAGTGGCTTGTAGCTCCTGGAACCCAGAGAACAGAAAAAGGCAGAGGCTTAGTGCCCCCCGCCCCAACCTCACTTCAAAGGAACCCAGTAAAGGACTGTGAGCGAAGGGGCAGGTAAGCTGCACAGTGCACCTCTGGCAATGGGCAGCCATGAAGAGAGAAACAGCAGCTGCAGCGATGGCCAGGCACAGCAAACAACCAGGGGAGCATGGCAAGAAGGCCCTGGGTGGGGCTGGAGCGATAGCACAGCAGGTAGGGCATTTGCCTTGCACACAGCCAACCCGAGTTCGATTCCCAGCATTCCATATAGTTCCCTGAACACCGCCAGGACGAATTCTTGAGTGCAGAGCCAGGAGTAATCCCTGTGCATCACTGGGTGTGATCCAAAAATTTAAAAAAAAAAAAAAAAAGGCCCTGGGTGCTGCAGGGTGAGAAACTACCACCAAGCAGGCCTAGAGAACTGGACTGACACTGCCCTGGCCTGATTCATGCCCCTTTTTGAACACCACACAGAGCAGATATGGAGTGGTAGAAAGGTAGGGGACTGAGGAAGCGCAGGTAAACAGAGAGTAGGTGTAGGGTCAGCCTGTCATACGTGGGAACTGGAGAGATGGCATAGGAGATGTTCTTTTCTGCCTGTGCCCCCTCCCAAGGGGAGAAAACAGTCACGGCACTGGACTCAACACGATCAAGCCAGCTGCCGGGGACTGGCCTACACCTGTTCCTCGTCTTCTGGGAGAAATAGGCATAGGAGTTGAAAGACAGGGTTTGGGGGGGAAGGGGAACAGAGTGACAGTACAGCATGGAAGCCACTTGCCTTGCATGTAGCTGACCCAGGTTTAATCCCTTCTAGGGAGAAGCCCATACGGTTTTCTGAGCCTCACAAGGAGTGATCCCTAGCAGTGTCAAGAGTAAACCCAGAGTTGAGAGTAAACCCAGGGGCCGGAGAGATAGTCCAGCAGGGAGGGCATTTGCCTTGCACGTGCCTGACCCAGGTTCAATCCCTGGCATCCCATATAGCCCCCTCAAGCACCGCCAGGGAGTAATTCCTGAGTGCATGAGCCAGGAGTAACCCCTGAACATCTCTGGGTGTGACCCCCCCCCCAAAAAAAAGAGTAAGCCCAGGGGCTGGAACGATAGCACAGTGGGTAGGGCATTTGCCTTGCACACAGCCAAACTGGGTTCAAATCTCAGCATCCCATATGGTCCCCTGAGCACCACCAGGAGTAATTCCTGAGTGCAAAGCCAAGAGTAACCCCTGTGCATTGCTGAGTGTGACCCAAAAAGCCAAAAAAAAAAAAAGTAAACCCAGAGTCAAGAGTAAACCCAGAGCTACATGTGGCCTCCCCAAAACATAAAAACAAAAAAAAACAAGAATACCAGGCTTGTATTTTTGGGTACCCAGTCTGACAGGGTACGAATTTCAACTCTACTACTACTAGTAAGCTAGGAAACTTTGGCCAGAAACTTAACTCCACAGTCTCAATTTTCTCATCTAGAAAACGGAAATGAGATTAGTCCCTACCGCATGTGATAAAGCACAAAGGGTGCCCACAGAGGACAGCTCAGAAAACACCACCCCAGTGCCCAGCGCCCTGACTATGATTTCTTACCCTGGCAAAGTTTGACGATGCCAGCGATAATGACAGCAATCAGAGCCACGACCTTAGCGTAAGTGAAGCTGTCTTGAACCACGGTTCCCCACTTGACGTAGGCACAGTTAACGAAGGTTAAAAGACCTGAAAGAGAAAGAACACTGCTCAGTACAGAGGGCCTTGGGCTCCTGAGCAAGTCACAGAATGATATTTTGGAGGGCTGGGAGATAGCTCAAAGGAGTGATACAGGCCCCACCCCAGCGCTGTGTGGTTCCCCAAGCACCAGCAGGAATGACCCCCAGACACAGACAGAGCCAGACCCCAGCACCCCAAGATGTGACTCAAAACCAAAGACTTTTCTCTTTTAATTACAAAGAGATCTTTTATCCAAGGACATACTAGGGGTTCTACTCTTCATTAAAAACCTCAGCTATTGGGGCCAGAGCGATAGCACAGTGGGCCCGGTGTTTGCCTTGCACACAGCCAATCCCGTTCAATCCCCAGCATCCCATATGGTCCCCCGAGCACCACCAAGAGTAATTCCTGAGTGCAGAGTCAGGAGTAATGCCTGAGCATCACTGGGTGTGACCGAAAAAGAAAAAAAAGAAAAAAAACTCAGCTCAGGGGAGGCCAGAGTGATAGTATAGCAGGTAGGGCACTTGCCATGCATGTGGCTGACCCAGGTTCCATCCCTGGCACCACAGATAGTCCCCTGAGCCCTGCCAGTCGTGATCCCTGAGCAGAAAGCCAGAAGTAAGCCTTGAGCACTGCTGGGTATGTCCCCCTTCCAAAAAAAATAATTCAGCTCAGAAATTCTTCACCACAATCCTCCAAAAGTACTTGCTTGAAGGGGATGAGGTGGTAGCTTAAGGGTATCTGACTATTAAGGTTGTTGCTGAGCAACTGTGCTCATGGCAACACACACACACACACACACACACACTTGCACTTATACAGAAGACAGAAAACAATGTGACTACACTTGCTTTTCATACGAAAGTGCTTGAGTGAAGGAATAGGTGATGCATGCTGAAACTAGACTATGGACCAAATATGATGGTCATTTAGTACCTGTATTGCAAACCATAACACCCAAAAGGAGAGAGAGAGTAAGAGAGAATGTACCTGCCACAGAGTGGGGGGAGAATGGGAGGTGGGTGGCTGGAGGGATACTGGGATCATTGGTGGTGGAGAATGGACACTGGTAGAGGGATGGGTACTCGATCATTGTATGACTGAAAAGTAATCATGAAAGTTTGTATAAGTTTGTAACTATCTCATAGTAATTCAATAAAAAAAATTGTTTTAAGCTCTTGAGTATGAAGCAACCAGGGGCAGTGTAGCATCAGAGCTGAGTTTTGGCTGCTGGCTCTGAAAAGGCACAAACTCTCCAACCTTCCTGCCCGGGTACCCCCAGACACAGGTCCTGGGATGCAGGATTCAGACTGTGGGGTTAGTATTAACCTTGACAAGTCCTGTTGGGAATTATCCGTGTCTGAGCCAGCAAGTCAGGACGTGTGTCCAAGGATTAGGCTGGGAGCCAGACTTCCTGCCTCGGCCTGCCAGCTCGCGGCTTGCTTGTGTACTAGGAGGGATTCCTGGAGCTGTAGTACCTAGAGATGGGGACAGGGCATTTCTCCTGACACCACTATGCAATGCTCTAAGTAGACCTTGAGTCCTGCTCTCCAGGCTCTCCCTCTCCCTGGGTGAGCCAGAGAAAGAAGGTCCTCAGCACCAGCGCCCTTCATCTGGCTTCCATGAGGCCTGAAATGCTGTGGAAGTGTTATGTGCAGATATCCAAAGCACCACCACGGTTCTAAGGAAAGCATTCAGAACTTTCACTGGAATCTCAGAGAAATGTATTGTGTCCCCACCCCCGCCATCACCGCCGCCACCACCACCACAACCACCACCAAAAAGTTAGGATTCACTACTTCGAAAGAAATTCAAGAAGGGAAGCCCACACCAGCTGCGAGGCTGAGCGCTTGCCCCAGGATGTGACTGGGAAACAAGTCAAGAGAAAGAATTCTGGAGCTCAGCAGAATGTTCCTCCCCACCGCCTCCAACCTCTTCAACAGCCCCGTGGGCGCATGTGCACCTGCTCTGTGTCCAAGGGAACCGCTATTGGGCTCCCTCCTTCCTGGCTCAACAACCATGGCCCTCAGCAAGGGGAAAGAGGGTGCACACTCAATCCCCCAGGGTCTCCAAGGACAAGGACAAGGTCAGCCTGCCTCAGCAGTAGAGAAAGTGAGACACAGGTCTGGGCTCTCTGAGTCAGGACGCAGAGGCACGCAGGAGAGAGATGGAGTCATAGGCACCTGCTCAGCACCCAGGGGCCTGGAGTTTGGGGGTGCAGGCCAAGGTCTTTCTCTGAATGGGTGATCCCAGAACACAGCTTCCAGCCCCAACTCCCACTGGGTATAAGGGAAGGAAGGAGGGAGGGAGGGAGGGAAGAACTGGCTATAAGTGCCAAGCCCTCAGAGTCTCCTAATCCTGCTGTTTTGTTACTTCCAGCCCAAATCAGACTCCAGCCCAGAGACTGCATCATCCCAAACTGAAAGATCAGCTTCTTCTCTTCGCTGCCAAAGTTCTTTTCTGCTCTTCTGGAACAGAATCTTTCCTGTCCTAATCATAATACTCACCTTTCACCTAATAAACAAGACAATAAATAACCACAGGGAGTTATCAGAGGGCTGGGCAAAAAATGTACCCCAGTGCTAAGTTAATAATTAAAGACACAAGGGTTCCGTCTTCACAAGCACCCCACAAAATGTGCCAAGGGACTGTCGCACATCCTCCATGAGACTTCAAGATCTGTTGATTTTCCTCCCCAAGTTGCCCCGCCATCCCTCCCCTGAGAGCCTCTGTCCTTCTCAGCCACCCACCGTGTATCCCTGGTCACTCACACTCAGACTCCGCTGCTGACCAACAAGCGTAACACAAGTCTGGTTTCCAGTAGACCATCAGGAACAACAACACGGTCTTCTTCACAGAGAAATGGACAACCCCAGGTCACAACGCCTAACAGGGACAGTCTTAAGGAACTAGTTTCAGTTCAAAATTAGTCTCAAACCATGCAATTCAGTCCATTGCTCTGTCCAGGGATCCCTTGGCAAGGAAGAGTCAACCATCACCCTTTAGTGTATCCCTACACTGTAGCCTGTCCTCCCATTCATTGTTCATCGATTTGCTCGAGCAGGCACCAGTAACGTCTCCATTGTGAGACTTGTTGTTATTGTTTTTGGCATATCAAATATGCCATGAGGAGCTTGCCAGGCTCTGCTGTTCAGGTGGGATACTCTCGGTAGCTTGCCGGGCTCTCCGAGAGAGGTTGAGGAATTGAACCTGGGAGGGCAGTGTGCAAGGCAAACGCTCAACCCACTGTGCTATCGCTCCACCCTTTACTAGGATGACAACTTCTGAGACAAAAACGCGTGCATTGTTTCTGCTTTCATCCCTGCTGCTTCCCAACCTCCATATCCATCTGTTTATCCCTTCTTTACCCTCCACTATTTGCGCCGCCCCACTCCTGGATCTTTCTTTTCTCTGACCCACTATCTTGTCCTGATCTGCTCTCCGTAGTAGGCCCCAGGCCTGGGTGTGAATGAAGACCAGAATCCCACGCTAAGAAGCTGGGCAGCAGAGAAAGGGTCTAAGGAGAACTGGGCCTCCCCTTCCCCACAGTGCAGCCTCTGGGTCATGGGAACAGGGGCAGGAAACAGGTACAGCGTGCAGTGGGGCTGAGCAAGCACTCTGGCACACCCTCAGCGGATACAGCTGACCGGAGGCCCCAGAGCCCAGCCAACTGCACCGCTAGAACCCAAACTCCTGTTCCAGAGGCAGAGAAAAGAGGGGACCAGAGGGTTAGAATAACATAGAGTCCAAGGCAGATGCCCAACCCCACCCACCTACCTCTAGGGGCAATTCAGTCTCCACCCAACGCTGGACTAAGTCCAGGCCAAGGTGGCGAGAAGTCACCTTTCAGCCCGGGTCCAGCTCTGTCCCTGGCCTGGGCCCGCCAAGTCCCCTGGAGCCTTAGGAGACTGAGCTCCTGCTCTGAATCCTGCTCTGGGGGAAGCAAACACCACAAAGAAGCCACTGCTTTGAGCACCTAAGAAGCCTCCCCAGTGCCTCTCGGCTGGCCTGCATGACTTCCCGCAGGAGGACGCTGCTCTGGCACGGAGACCCAGCACCAGCTCCACGAGACCAGCTGCTTCACTGGACCAAGAACGAACAAAGGCTCAGCCAGAGCAGAGGCCGCCCACATCTTGTTCAGCTGCCCAAACCAAGCAGTCCCTGGAAGTGTGCATTCACACAACTCTCCCGGCACCTTCGTTCATGAAGACACACACCGGGACATGCAGGCAGGCTGCAGGCTGACCACTTAACAGGTTAAGTCAAGCCAGGCTTAATGTCACCCCACCCCCATCCCCTCACCCTTCGGTCCCCCAAAGCACTGTGGGGAGCAACCCCAACACTATTTTTTAAAAAATGATTTTAACCATTTTTTGCTTCTGATGGCCAGAACCCCAATAGCTAATTGGACAACTCAATCTTTTTCTTCCCCCCCCCCCCGCACCCCGCAGGACCTCACAAATACAAAGCATTTGCTCTGCACTGAGACATATCTCTGGGTCACTCCATTTGTAAGGAGTTCAGTAGTTCATTTTGGGTGTGGGGATGGAGTATTCAGGAAGCCCCAGGGCCCTTTTCAGTGCCAGGGAACTGTGTTGTCCCAGAGAGCAAACCAGGATTGGCCACATGCAAGTACATCCCCGAACCCCAGTTCTGTCTCTCCAGTTCCTAGCCGCTGTTCCTTCCACTGAACCCCAAACTGGCCTACACACAATCACGCTAATAAAATCTCTTCCACAAAATGGTCCTTTAATCATCAACATTTACGCTCTGTACCCCTATGCCCCTCAAGTCTCTCTCTTGGAGGTGAAAGACCCAGTTTCTTTGCCCCATTTTTGTGCTCCTTTTTGTTCATTTTGTTTGGTTGGGGGTAAAGTCACACTTGGCACCGCTCAAGAACTACTCCTGGCTCTGTACTCAGAGCTCCCAGTGGGGAAGGACCAAACCTGGGCCTCCTTCATACAGAGCCTAAACCCATTACTCAGCGATTGCTTCAGGCCCTCTTGTGT